TGTGCCAGAACTTCCTGTGCGGTGCTGAGGCTCTGGTTCAACATCTGCGAGCTGTCCCGCCTCCTGGCTTTCCCCTCTTTCCTCAATCACCACTTCCTGTCCACCTCCCTCTGTCTGTTTCTGCTCCTCCCCTGCATGCTCTGGCAATACCATGACAAAGATGCAGCACAGATGGTACCTCACCCCCTCAAGATTATCTAAGATGTATAATAATTTAGCGAATATCTGTTGGAGGTATGGTGGGAGTAATGGCGATATGTATCATATGTGGTGGCCGTGTAGGAAGATCAAAGTGTTTTGGGGTTTAATTTACGATGAGTTAAAAAAAATGTTTGGAATAACCTTTCTAAAAAAACCAGAGACATTTCTGTTAAGTATTGTTGGCAGGGACATCCCAAAGGCCTTTAGAGAGGTATTCTTATATGCAATGGCTGCAGCCCAGACTTTGGTGGCAAAGGGGTGGAAGGAAGAAGAAGCCCCAACAATAACGGACTGGCATAATAAACTACAAGAATTTGCTGAAATGGCGCAGTTGGCAAATAGCCCGAGAGGCAATTCAAATAAAAAAAATTATGGGAAAATGTGATAGATATAAGATATATGTTCAAAAATATAGTAAAAGTTTGTTATCTATGCTAGCATTCGATTGACGTTGGAGAGAAATTGAGTTGAGGAACAAGATTAAGGGTACATATTGATATAGGAATGTATTAGATAAAATGTAAAGAAATATACAATAATAAGTGAACATTCATTTGTAAAAAAAATAAAAAAGAATATACGAGTTTGACAGGAAGCCCATAGTGTTGGTACAAATATTATTTTGAAATGGCTTTATGTCTTTGTTTTTTATTTTATTTTATTTTTTCTTTCTTTAGGTACATAAATTTGGTATATAAACTCTATATACATGTTGGAAATTATATTATAATATGCCCTGTAATGTAATATGATAATGTATACATATGTGACATAAGAATGTTAATTTAATAATAATAATAATAAAGATTGAATTGGAAGGAAAAAAATATAAAGAGAGAGGAAAGAATTGAGAAAAAATTAGGAGCTAAGATAACCATTTAGATGGGAATATTAGAATGCTAGACGGGAAAGTGAAGAATATGGGAACGAAGATTGAAAAAAATTATACTTTAATAATGGACCTCTCCAGTCAAGTAAACCAATTAACTACAAAAAAAAAGATCTGGATAAAACGATCCAAGAGGTAAAAATTAGGACACAAAAACAAGACAAAACCGTGAAAAAAATCCAGGTAGACCAAAAGGAAACAAGGAAGTCTCAGGAGAGAAATAAAGAAGCGATTGATGAATTGAAGAGAATACAAGAGCAGACCTGGGACACTCTTGCCATTCTCGAGATGAGACAAAGAGAAATGATTCTCCGCTTTCATGGAATTAAAGAGGACCAAAATGAGGAAATATCAACGAAGTTACAGAAAGACCTGGCAGATTGGTTAGGAGTACTGGAAGAGGACTTGTCTCTGGATATTGAGAAAATATTTAGAATAAGAGTGAACAAATCAAAAAGCAGGAAAGGACCAGGGGTTTGTCTAGTATTTTTGAATTTGAGGCTGAGGAGATTTCACCCCTCCCATATCCAAGAATCTCCTGAGGAGTCTGCTGATTCTCCAGAGAGGAGGAGGCGTGTTCTGCTCTCTACTTATTCTGCTCCAGCACCGAGTCAGTCAGTCAGTCAGTCAGTCAGTGTCGGAGAGAGAGAGAGAGACTGAGTGTTAGAGATCGTGTGTAGAGATAAGGTTGCTGCTAAGAGCAGCTGCAGACACTCAGTGCAGTGCAGCATTCATTTATGCTTAGACCTATTTAGCTCTGTATATAGTTGTATAATAGTTGTGGCTAGAATAAAGAAGATATTCTACAGAGCTGCTCTCCGAGTCATTTATATACTCTGCTAGAGTCTGCTGTACTCTGCTGTGCGACGACTGTCTTCTTGCGGAAGTGAATCTGGTGCTCACAACTCTATGCTGTGAGTCCACAGCACTTTGACCTGTTCCTGTGCAGAAGGTGGTCTCTGGAAGTGCTACCCAGCTCGCCTAGCCCAGTCGGGGCTGAAGTGGATGAGTCCAGTTGGTGGCACTGGCTCAAGGGCGATGCTGACAGAGGCTACTCAGAGACAAAATCTTGCTGAAGGGCAGAGCACACCCTTGTTAGAGGGAGTTTTACCTCTGGTGGCAGATGACAGAAGCTATGACACCATGAGACCGGTGTAAAACCAAATCAAATAAAGGTTTTATTACAAAACAACAAACAGCAAATCTTGTGGGTGTTTTTCCTGCAGGGAAAGTTTAAACTGCAACTTTCCTCCTTTTATAGTGATGACCAGCTGTAACCAATCTGCCCAGAGCTCACAGAAACAGTTCTTAAAGGTACAAACAACTTTACTGTTTCTTTGAAGAATGACTCCCAACAACCCATTGTGTATAGATGGGAAACATTGAGATAATGAAAGAAGTCCCGACCCATCTGTTAAAAAGGAGAGACAATTATAGATTTATTGCATCCGCACTTAAGAAAAACAAAATATTATCCAAATGGGAATTCCCTGAGGGACTCACCTTTACATCATTCAGCCCGGACACTGAGATCCAGGACCGAGGGCCTTCTGGCAGTTCCCTCATTGCGAGAAGTGAGGTTACAGGGAACCATACAGAGGGCCTTCTCGGTAGTGGCGCCTGCCCTGTGGAACACCCTCCCTTCAGATGTGAAGGAAATAAGCAGCTATCTTCTCTTTAAAAGACATCTGAAGGCAGCCCTGTTTAGGGAAGTTTTTAATATTTAATGCTGTATTGTTTTTAACACTTGATTGGAAGCCGCTCAGAGTGGCTGGGGAGACGCAGCCAGATGGGCAGGATATAAATAATAACTTATTATTATTATTATTATATTACATATAAAAAGAGGAAAAGAACTTTCAGATCGGTGGAAGAAACCAGAATCTTCTGGAGGAAGTACTGGGAAGAGTTAGGAGAGAAACTTCAAGAGGGAGAAAATGAAAACAAGATAAGACTAAGACTTTTAATTACGATTTCTACTTTCTGTTGTTCTTTTTTTCTTTCTATCACCGCTTGATTACTTAAGTAAGACTTGAAAAATTTAATAAAATTTTATGGCGTTTAAATGTATCTCCTGGAACGTGATTGGGCTGAACAGTAAATTTAAAAATTAAAAAGGAACAAAGTAGAATGTATATTAAAGAGGAAAAAATGGGACATTATATGTTTACAAGAGACCCATATATCTAATAAGCATATAAGGGTTTTAAAAAATAAATATTTGGGTCTAGAGTATATAGTATCATTTATGGAGAAAAAGAGGGGAGTGGTAATCTATGTAAAACCAATCCTAAACCCGCAACTGTTATTTCAAGGTGAAGAAGGCAGAGTCCTAGGGGTAGAGATACAAATAAATGGGGAAAAAAAATTGGTGGGGATTTATGCCCTAAACAATAACAAATTAGAATTCTATAGAAACTTAGAAGAGAGACTCTGGGACTATGCCAGTGAAAATATAATAATTATGGGGGACTTAAATGGAGTTACATCCATTGAAATGGATAGAACGGACAGCGATAAGCTATCTAACTCGGGTAGATTACCACTCCTCTTCCAAATGACAGAAAATTTCAATCTTTTTTTTTTTTTAAAAAAAAAGATATTTATTCCAAATTTAAAAATACAAAAAAAGAAAAAAACCATACAAAGTAGAGTAAACATATAACAAAAAACAGACAATAAGAAAAACTCAACAAGAAATATAAAAGTACATTGCAATAAAATAAAACAAAAATCAAATTAAACCTTTATCTAGCCTTTTTTCCTTTTACTTATTTCCGTAACCTCCTCTCACCTCCCTGCTTTGTATTCTAGTTTAAATCGTATTTCCAGCAAATCCTTCTAACCTTCTTTTCATTTACTTATTTTAACATTCAATAGTATAATTATTACTCCTCTATCCCATCATTTTCTATACTTCATTTTTACTTAATCCGTTATATCATATCTGCCAAAACGACCTAATAATCTTTTTCCAACCTCTTTCTAACATTCTTTTATGTTACAATATTTTTGAAGATATAATTTAAATTTTTTCCAGTCTTCTTCCATCGACCCTTCGCCCTGGTCTCGAATTCTACCGGTCATCTCAGCCAGTTCCATATAGTCCATCACTTTCATCTGCCATTCTTCTCGGGTAGGCAATTCTTGTGTCTTCCAGTATTTCCCAATAAGTATTCTTGCTGCTGCTGTCGCATACATAAAAAAGGTTCTATCTTCCCTTCGCACCAATTGGCCGACCATGCCCAAGAGGAAGGCCTCTGGTTTCTTTAGAAAAGTATATTTCAATACCTTTTAATTCATTATATATCATTTCCCAGAAGGCCTTGATCTTTGGGCACATCCACCAAAGGTGAAAGAAAGTACCTTCATTTTCTTTACATTTCCAACATTTGTTATCGGGCGTATGATAAATTTTGGCTAGCTTGACTGGGGTTAAATACCACCTATAAATCATTTTCATTATATTTTCTCTTAAAGCATTACAAGCCTTAAATTTCATACCTGTAGTCCATAACCGTTCCCAGTCAGCAAACATAATATTATGTCCAAAATCTTGTGCCCATTTGATCATAGCAGATTTAACCGTTTCATCCTGTGTATTCCATTTCAGCAGCAAATTATACATTCTTGACAAATTTTTAATTTTAGGCTCTAACAATTCAGTTTCCAATTTGGATTTTTCATCCTGGAAGCCAATCTTTTTATCTAGGTTGAAAGCCTCCCTTATTTGATAATAATGAAGCCAGTCTCGAACTTTAGTTTTTAGTTTGTCAAAACTCTGCAACTTTAGTTTATCTCCAACTTGTTCTAGAATTTCACAGTATTTTGGCCAGTTTGTCTCCATATTAGTTTTTTTCAAAGCCTTAGCCTCCATTGGTGACAGCCACCTTGGTGTTTTACTCTCCAGCAAATCCTTATATCTCACCCAAACATTAAACAATGCTTTCCTGACAATATGGTTCTTAAAGGCCTTATGCGCTTTAACCTTGTCATACCATAAATATGCATGCCATCCAAACACATTATCAAAACCTTCTAGGTCCAAAATGTCCGTATTTTCAAGAAGTAGCCAGTCTTTCAGCCAGCAAAATGCGGCTGATTCATAATAAAGTTTGAGATCTGGCAGGGCAAATCCACCTCTTTCCTTTGCGTCTGTTAATATCTTAAATTTTATTCTAGGCTTTTTGCCCTGCCAGATAAATTTAGAAATATCTCTTTGCCACCTCTTGAAGCAGTCCATTTTGTCCACAATTTGCAATGTTTGAAACAAAAACAACATTCTAGGCAATACATTCATCTTTATCGCAGCAATTCGGCCCAACAATGATAACCTCAATTTTGACCATATTTCCAAATCCTTCTTTACTTCTAACCAACATTTTTCATAGTTGTCTTTGAACAAATTCACATTTTTAGCAGTCATATGCACCCCTAAATATTTCACTTTATTAACTAATGTTAGTCCTGTCTCCTTCTGAAACCTCTCTTTTTCAATCTCTGTAAGATTTTTCTCTAATACCTTAGTTTTCATCTTATTCAATTTAAAACCTGCTACTTGACCAAATTCTTGAATTAATTGCAATACTCTTTTGTACTGAATTCTGGCTCCTGTAGTGTCAAAACTAAGTCATCAGCAAAAGCTTTCAATTTGTACTGTTTAGCTCCGAGTTGTATACCTTTAACCAATTGGTCTTTCCTAATCATATTGAGCAAAACCTCCAGGACCGAAATAAAAAGCAATGGGGAGATTGGGCAACCCTGTCTTGTTCCTTTCTCTATCTTAAATTCTTCTGTAACTACATTATTTACAATCAGCTTAGCTTTTTGTTCTGAATAAATTGCACCTATACCATTTTCAAAACTTTGGCCTACCCCCATCCCCTGCAGATTTTTCTTCATAAAATTCCAAGAAATATTGTCAAAGGCTTTCTCCGCGTCCACAAATATTAGAACTGCTTTAGTATTAATATTAACTTGCAATTTTTCTAAGATATTAATGATATTCCTCGTATTATCTGACAGATGTCTCCCCGGGAGAAAGCCCGCTTGATCTTTATGAATTTCTTTCACCAATACATTTTTTAATCTTTTAGCCATAATTTCCGCAAAAAAATTGTAATCCACATTAAGTAGGGATATGGGACGGTAGTTCTTCAACTGTGTCTTTTCCACTTCTGTTTTCGGTATAAGTGTAATGTATGCGTCTTCCCCCGACTCGGGTGCTTTTCCTCCCGTAGTATTTCATTGCAGACTTCTTTCAAAGGTTGCATTAACCATTCTTTCAAAGATTTATAGTACTTTGCAGTTAAACCATCTGGCCTTGGAGATTTGCCCAATTTCATATTCTGAATGGCTCCTTCCACCTCTTGGTCAGATATTATAGAGTTTAATATTGATTTGCTCTCTTGAGATACTTTTTGTAATCCATTAATTTTCAAGAACCGATCAATGTCTAATTCTTTCTGAGTCTCCTGCGTATATAACTGTTTAAAATAGTTCTGAAAGCACTTTCGAATCTCTCCAGGATTCTGTATATTCTTCCCTTCTACTACCAAGTTCGTAATCGTATTCAGCTTTTGTCTTTTTTTCATTTGCCAAGCCAATAACTTCCCACACTTATTTGCCGATTCAAATGTCTTTTGTTTCATCTGTTTAATCTTCCATTCTATTTCCTGATTCATCAGTTTCATATATTGTACTTGGTATAACTTTATCTCTTTTAAGATCTCCTGTGAGTTCGGTTTCGCCCTCAGTCTTTTTTCTCCATCCTTAATTTTCTCCAAAATTTTTTCTCTCTTCTCATTTTGATGTCTTTTCCTAATTGCATTTTGTTGTATCAAAAATCCTCTCATCACCGCTTTACTAGCATCCCAAATCACTCTTTTCTCGGTCGTCGTGTTCATATTTATCTCAAAATAGTCTCTCAAATTTTTCTGGGCCTTTTTGATAATTTCCTCATTCCTAAGCAAGGAGTCATTCATCCTCCATCTAAAAGCTCCAATTGGCGTTAGTATCATTTCCATCTTTACTGGATTATGATCAGAGCAAATTTTCGGACAAATTACCGCTTTTTTTATCTTAGGGGCCAGTCCCCTGGTTATCCAGATTTGGTCTATTCTTGTCCATGTCATTTTTGCTTCAGAGAAGAAGGTTCCTTCTCTTTCCAAGGGGTTCTTTATTCTCCAAATGTCCACAAGGTCCATATTGTCAGTCATTTCAAAAAATGTCTTTGGTAGTCTTCCATCTTTCGTCACCATTTGTCTTTGGGCTTTATCCATGTTTGTAGACACTACTCCATTCATATCTCCCATCAAAATAATGTTGTAATCCAAATAATCCAATAGGATTTCATGCAGTTTTTTAAAAAATTCTGATTTTCCCTCATTTGGTGCATAGACACCTAATATCAAAAACTTCTGACCGTGAAGCTGAATTTCAATTGCTATATATCTTCCTTGATCATCTTTAAATAAAAATTTTGGTGACAGGCTTTCCTTTGCATAGAGTACTACTCCTCTTTTTTTCACATTGTCCGATGAAATAAATTCTTCTCCCAATCTTTTATTTATCAAGATTTTCCGGTGTAGCCTTGTCACATGCGTCTCTTGTAGGCAAATCAAGTCCAAATGCTCTTTTTTTAATGTATGAAATACTCTCCCCCTTTTTGCCGACGAATTTAAGCCATTAATGTTCCAACTTAATACTTGCAGTGTCATTTTGTACTTACTCTCCTTCTCCTCCAACAGCCCCAAGAAGTTTGTCTATATCTGTCGGTGGCGTTGGTTTCACTTTTTTTTGCAGACTCTTCTCCGGTACAGCAGGGTCTTTTCCCAGTCCTTTCTGTAGATCTTCTTCATATGCGCTCAGGAACTTGTTCTTTTCCTCCACTGATCTTATCTTAGTCTTTCTTCCTTTAAAACTAAAGGATAGGCCTTGAGGAAATTCCCACCTGAAAAGGATCTTGTTTTTTCTCAGCAAGGCCACCAAGTCTCCAAAGTCTTGTCTTAAATCCAAAAGATGTTTCGGTATGTCTTTAAAAATTTCCACTTTTGATTGCAGAATTGTCAAGGGTTTCTCTTAATGCAGGCCCAAAATTTTGTCCCTCTCTTCTTTGGATCGGAGGGTAATCAAACAGTCCCTTATTTTAATCTTTCTTCCTCCTTTCCCCAATCTGAAGGCCCTCACAATCTTGAAATCCTCTTGTTTCAAATCCGATTTCCAGAATTCCGCAAATTCTTGTGTCAGAAAATCTATCAAGGTGCCTTTCTCCAACTCAGGAACAGCTCTAATTCTTAGATTAGATTGTTTGTCTCTAAGGTCAATCATAGACAGCGTCAGCTTATGTTCTGCAATCTCTTTCTGTAGGTCTGGTACCTTCTCAGTTTCCAGTTGCCCCAATTTAAATTCCACAGCAGCAGTTTTTTCCTGTATCGACTTTGAGTCTTGCAATAGTCTCTGAATAGATTCCGTATTGCTATTTACCTTTTTCCCCAAATTGTCTAATGTTTCTGTATTTAAGTCAATTTTTTTATTTGCAATGTCCACTTTCTGGTTCGTCTCCTCAACCTTTTTATTCGTCTCCTCAACCTTTGTACTAAGTTGTTGTAAAGTTTCATTAATCTTGGCCAGGGCATTGGCTAGAATTTCCTCAGACATTCCACTAGACTTAGCTTGTGTTACTGTCGTGGGCAAGCCAGCAGATGATTGCCTTCGATGCCCCCAAGGTTTTCCAGATCTCAAAACTGACGGGTCTAATTTCTCACGGCCATCTGCCATAACAATGTGAAGGTCAAAGCCTTTTCCAAATGTGCTGTTCCTGTTTACAAGTGGAAAATTCCTTTACTGTAATTTCAGGGAGTCCCACTAGGTGGACAATGTTACCACCTTCCAAACTAGTCACTTTCCTTATTGTAACAGGAAAGGAAAGGAAAGAGAAACTAAGTATCAGCAAAGAAGAAAAAAAAAACAGGATACAGTTCCAAAATGTATCTTTCCAGTTATTTTTCCCAGCGAGGTTGGCCACAATATATCCACCTTACTGTCAGCAGTTGGCTCTAACAAATTTTGACATCTGAGACGTCTCACTGACAAATCGCTCTTTAAGTCCTTATACAGTCCGGAAGAAACCAACCCTTTTCCTTTTTTTTTCCCCTCAGAAAGGGTAGATTCATCAAAAGTTCTCAGGTCAGGAAAAAACTTTTTTCAAATCAATTTCCCACGTTTAGCTCAAAGTCTCTATGCTTTACACTGTTTGCAAGGCAGGGAAGTGGACTTCCTGTTTACACTTCCCACCGCGGTAGCCAATTTTAATCGTTGTTTTAATTAAAAAGCTTTCAGATTTTAGTCCAATTTTAATCCAGTTTCAAAACTTTAAATCCAATTTCTCCTACTCACGATCGAATTTCAGTCCGAATGTTCCAGGAATAAATCAGCGCTCTCCAGCAACGGCAACACAGCTTCGCTCCGCGAAAGCAGCGATCCACTCACAGCACCGCGCTTCTCCCCCGCTCCGTTCCGAAGCCTCAAAAAAAGGCTTCCTCGCGAGTTGGGGGGCGCTCAATGGTGCCCGCCGAGTCTCCACGTTCGCAGGCTTCAGCGTCTGCGATTTCTAAGGGTCCCCGCTTCGCCGTAGCGCACAGGACCCGATTTTCGCGGAGCCGATCCCCTCCAGCTGAAGAGAATTTTCTCCGTTGCTAATGGCGCTGACCGGAAGTCAGAAAATTTCAATCTTTATGATACTTGGAGAATTAAACATCCTAACGTAAATGATATCACACATTTTTCTGAAGTTAAAAAGTCAGGTGGGAGAATTGATGCGATCTGGACTTCGAAAAAATTGACATTGAGCTTGGAGAATGCAGGAATTTTGAATAGATCCCTGTCAGACCACAACCCAGTAATGATACGTATGAAATTTAAAAAGCATACAAGGGGGAGGGGGAGGATGAATTATGAATTATGGAGAGATGATCAAAGGGTAATTCAAGCCAAAGAAGTGCTGAAAGAATTCTTTGAAATAAATGAAAAACAAGGCACAGATAGGAAAATAATCTGGGATGCAAGCAAAGCCTATATGATATGGTTACCAGACGTTCCCATTTCCCGGGGGCAGTCCCCGGATTTACAAATCTGTCCCCAGACAAAATCTGTCCCCAGAATGTCCCTGGATTTCATTTAATGTCCCCGGATTTATATTTTAAGTGTTGTAGTGTGCCATGGCCACCTGAAGAAAAACGTATTGCTGTGCCTCATTTTTGCTGTGCCTCATTTTATCTTTTAGTGCCTAATGCTAAAAGTGCCTTATTCTGAGGATCAAATGCTGTCTCTCTCTCTCTCTGCCTTATTGCTGTATTAGCAGAAACATTTATTATTTTATTAATATTTTTAGCTGTGCTTGCAGAATATAGGGGAAGGGGAAGGCGTCCATCATAGTCACAAGACAAGGCACTAACACCAGATGTTCTGGAACACAGGATGTCCAAGTTGGGTGCTTTCCATATAGGACACAGGATGTCTGATAAGGAAGGGGTTTTTGCTTTGCTGGCCAAAAAGGGGTTTTTTGCTTTGCTTGCTGATAACAATATATGAGTCATTGCTAATATAATGAGCAAATATATGGAAGGAAGAAGTAATCTTTATAAGGACATAGGAGGGTATAGGAAGGGTGATGTCCAAGCTTATTGGTTTAATTTTGCTGCATTACATGAATATGTAATGTCTGAAAAAGTTATATAACCCCATGGAACTGGGCCCAGAGGAAGGTCGTGTGACAGAGGAGACCACAGAAGAGAAGATATTACTTCTTAATTATTATTATTTAAATACCTTTTTTCCTTTTTTTAAAAAAAAAATGTGTTCCTGGATTCTTTGAAAAAATCTGGTAACCTTACTATATGAGAGGCTTTGGAATACAACAAATGGGGAGGATTAGGAAGGGTAAAAAGA